TACTATCGTCGAACACGCCCTCCCTCGTACCTACATTTATTGCTTTATTAGGACTTGTGCCGATAATTACGTCCCCCTTTTTTATCCATCGGCAGCGTGATAGGCCATCGCCTTGGGAGGTTTTCCTGCAGCTTCAGGGAAAGGAAAACCGGTTCGCTGTTTCCGAATAAACGGCGCGAGAAAGCCAACCCGGCGACGCGGCATTCGCGCCAAGATCCCATTTTCTTCAGGCGAAGCGCGGCGAGGCAGGAGAGCGCGGACCGGCGGCGGCTCGGCAAAGAGCTCGAGCTTCGACCCCGCCGCCGGAGCCTGGAAGCTACCTGGGCGACCTCAGGGTAACTGATGCCCACACCCGCCTGACCCTCGACCCCGACCCCTGCTCCACTGACCTCACGCGAGGCTATCATCATCTGCACGGTGGTGAGGATGCACTAACTTCTCATGAAACATATTTATCAGCAAGAGCGGGAGCACACACGAGAATTTCAACGCTCGGGCTCGGGTGTTTGTTTTAAGATAGGGTCAATAGAAGGGAATTACAAGTATTATTCATCTTTTTTTACCCTAGTGTTTACAAAATACGTTGGAATCGCATTTGTTCCGTGCCTCATAATCGCACAAGATAAGAACTTTACAATTAGTTTCAAACAGATAAGGATCAATGTAACATGATTTATGCCGCGGGTTCACAGCCCAAGAATAATTCAAATAAATTCTTGGCCCGTTATGAGGGCAGTGAAAAATGGCTCTCTCATCCGCGGCTCATTATGTTTAGAAAGTCCCTTGCTGATGAGGTCAGCTGAGCGACGCATGCTAATAGACCTGTCATGCAAGCAAGCAATGTGAACTAACTCTTCGTGAAATGAGAATGTCTGAGAGAGGACGTCGCTGCGGTCTCAACTTGGGCAACTGGAGCAGAAATGTCCAAAGCGGGGAGGCAACATCAGCAGGAAAGCAGACCAAGAGCAGCCGACCTCTCGACAGGTGCTCTCTCTTGTCTTTCCTGCTTCGTTCTGGTGTGTTAAGGTGCCTGCGCCCGCCCCGCCTTCCTCCTCCACCTGACCTGACCTCTGACCCGATTTGTGTTCTGGCCAGCCTCGAGGAGTGGTCCAGTGACCCTGCCTCAGCATACATGGCGAAGGCGGGGTAGTGGCTCTTCCTCACGCTGTACATGCACCAGCACCTCCCTCAGCTACTGTTCTTAAACGCTGCGTGCTCTCAGTGCCCGCTCAACGCCTTCGCTTTGCTGTGCTGCCATTCGAGGAAAAAAAAATCTTTCAATTACTTTTATCAATGTGGAATTACAGCCCGTTAGGAGTGCGAGATAATGCATTCTATTGCTCTAGAAAATCGCATTCAGATCTCCGACGATCCTCTGTTCAAGTATACATATCCAAAGTATATAGACCTAATGTATCCAGGTATACTTTGTTTACTCCTGAACTATTCAGTTCATTCACAATCAACGTATTTGCGTTCTAAATGAAGTTACAAAACTTAATGAAGAAAATGCATACCGGCAAATGAATACTTAATTTTTTGACAATACTTCGGAGGTGGACAACAACGACTTAACAATCACAGCTTAAAATGTTCTATATTCCTGTCATATGTGCATTTTTCAATATTGTTTTACCGAGCCATTCCATGCGGCTCTATTCATTTTACATTATATCATTAGCAAGAAGTATTCGCGTACATGATATCTTCATACAGTTACATGGACAATAACGAGTTGCTAATTAAGTTATACAACATACAACACACACACACATACACACACACACACAGACACATACGCACACACAGACACACACGCACACACACACACACACACACACACACACACACACACACACACACACACACACACACACACACACACACACACACACACATATATATATATATATATACATACATACATACATACATACATATATATATATATATATATATATATATATATATATATATATATATATAATGTGCAAAAGAATGTTCGAGGTGTTCCTTATAAAAACGACATTGTCTGCTGTGTGCTTATTGGAGAATATTTTAGCAAAATAAATGGCACAGTTGATTAAAAGTTCATTATTGAGGCTTAAAAAATCACATGGACTAAGATTTAGTTTTACAGAAAGAAGCTGAACGATGATACAATTAAAACTATTAAACGCGTCATTCAGGGTTTTATTATGTGTTTTTATCTATCTCCTCTAATATATTTAATAGATATAATCACTTCTGAAAACCACTTCTGTCAAGTTTTTTCCCCTCCCTCTCGTCGCTGAGAATTATAGAATCATCTGCGGTTTGTATGTGGACTCTCCGTTCTTTTTTTTTTTTTCTCTCTCTCTCCTTTCGCATTATCGAATGCTCGTAAGTAAGTAATCAAGTGGCAAGAGAAAATAATGACTAGGAAGAACGAACACTGGTGATCATGAGGCACCGCTGTCGTACAAATAGCAGTCTCATTCGACCAGAAAGCACGGCTGCC